TAGGAAACCTACCAGAGAAATTGATAAATTAACTGAAGTGACTGCAAAAAAGTCGATAAATGCCTTTCAAAATTGCTAGCAAGCGCCTGGTACGGTTTTGAAAGCGAAAACCTTGATTTACATAATTTAAAAAAAGAAAGCGGATAGACGGAAAGAAAAATGAGAAAAGATGCCATGAGCGTTATAAAAGAAAGAAAGATAGAAAGACAGAACGACAGAATGAAAGACAAAAAGAAAGAAAGGAAAGAGAGAAAGACAGACAGAAAGAAAGAAAGGCAGATAGAAAGAAAGACAGAAAGAAAGACAGACAGAAAGAAAGACAGACAGAAAGAAAGGAAAAAAGAAACAAAATAAAAATCTTGGAGCCTGGTTTCCGCAAATACCCATACATCTTTTATCTAAAAATAAAATAGGTAATCAATGGAGGAACGAAAAATGGCGAGGCCAAAAAGCGTTGTGCTGGAACATAATTTTCCACTTGGTGAGCTGATTGTTTGATAGGAAAGAAGGAGCAAACCACACTAAAGCACCCGCCAATCAACCACGAGAGAGAGAGAGAGAGAGAGAGAGGGGGGGGAGAAGGAGAGGGGGTCGGGTGAGAATGATCTCTACAGGAAAGTAATGCTCCGATCTTCAACACATGGACAGTGCTCATTTCCCGCTGTGAGATGAATTAAGTTGGAAATAAAAAATAAAAAAATTGCAAGTGCTATAAATCCTGAAAAAAAAGCATGAAACAAGCTTGCGTCAGGCGACAGTTCAATACGCTACACGCATCCTAAAATCAGGATGATATTGATTTGTGCGTTCTTTCTCACTCACTACCCCTCCCACCCCCTCCCCGCGACCCATTGAACCTCTGCTTTTAAAAGAAAAATCTAATCACAACCATATCTCTGATTCCAAATCCGCCTTGCCATCCACCCGTCCCCACCCCTACGTCATACCCCATCATAATTTGAGCAAGAAGCTTCGAGAAAAACACGAAAGCTAGGCCCCCAAATGGAGCTAAAGAGCAGAGGACGTTTTCTCTCAAACTAAAACGGCGCTTTGGGAAAATATGCAGTATTTAAAAAAATAAGAAAATGAGAATTACTACAGAAGAACGAGAACTGTGCACCTTAGTGAGTTAAGTAACCCACCATATGTTTGTATTCAATCTTGTTTAGGTCTTTAAATAATCGCAGTTGCTGATTCTGTTGTCATTCTTAGTACAACTGTATTTTTGGGTTTGTTTATTGTTTTAATAGGAAGTTCGATGGTCAAGAGAAGAATGAGCACTTTTTTAGCCCCTGTTGAGCAGGGGTTTTTTTTCCAAGCTACACATTTTCATTTTACAACAGTTTTTTTTTTCAAAATGCGGACTGGCGTCTATGTTTCTAAGGTTGAGCACTTCTCAGTCGTATGCAGAAGACTCAAGTTCAGTTCGGGGTGTGGATAAATTTTTATCAAGTAGTTCGGTCTTTCTGCTGAGATGTCGAATCCCTCTCAGTCTCAGCCTAAGTTAGCTCTGACAGGCAGGACCGAGGCCCACCCCCAAATTGATCTAATAAATATGGGCATAAAAATATGTGGCTCTAAACTAACGCAGCGGAAACCCACTAGGTTTGAGCGTATGTTTTCAGACTCACACCTTCAAGGTATTTTAGATAAATAGGGCACGAACACAAAACATTTGGAAATGTGACTCTTTTTATACAGTGGTTGGTTGAGTTAGGTGGAGGGAAGGGAGAGGAGGGTAAATTATCATCTACCGTCAACGAAATGAATCACATCCACTTGACTTAGAAGTAGACTTTCACCTGTTTTCAGCAAATCGATTCTCACAAAATCTTACCAGCTTGAATTCAGGAAAAATGTGGCATAAGCTGATGAGCTGTTACGTAGACTGTACACCGACGTCTCTAGAGTAGCGTCTCCTAAACAAACTTATACGTGTCGAGGGGGACGTAGAAGCATATATACATTAACACAAACAAACAAACAAACACAAAAACAAACAAATAAGAAACAAATTGAAAAACCGACCTAGTGTGCATTCTACTTTGATGGAGCGAAACCTAAAGATACGGTTCTGGTGTGATATGCTCCTTCTTTTCTATCAAACATCTATTCTCGTCTAGCGCTCCTATGACTTTATGCAGTTGCGAGCGCCGTAAAACCTCTACTAAAACAAAATAATTATCATCTACCCTCTTTCTTTGTTGTGTTTATTACTCTCTTGTAACGCCTTTAATCGTCGGCATTTATATGGCCTTATTGTGTTGCAAGTTCTGTAAATCTTTTATTTTAAAAAAAATGAAAGAAGACACGGCTCAGCGGGAGATCTGTGGGTCCTGTTCGCTACCGTCCCTCCTTGTAGGCAAGCGCAATTATCAATAAGTCGCTTTTAAGCATTAGGGAGCTATCCCGAAAAAAGGTGTTTTAAGATAATCGAAGGTAACGTTTTTGCCTCCTGTTCAGTTTCTTTGAAAGACAAGGAGAGTTTTCTCTTTAACCAAACAAATATACATACCATTGAAACAAAACTTCTCCTATAGGCAGGGCAATGCCCATTTTTTGGTGTAGGTTAAGATTTCTGGCTGGAAACCACCGAAATCTGGGTTAGCCCGCTTGACCAATTAACTGATGGTGTTACGACTCACAGATTAAGGGGAGATTAATATTTTGTGTTTTTTTGCCTTTTGCTGCCCTGTGTCCGAGTGGCTTTCAAAGGGTATTTAGATGTTATATGTCTCGTAGTCGACCTTTCAGAGTTCCGGGTCACAGATCCTGTAGGCTAAGGAATCGAAGGGTTAAAACATAAAGTCCTTCCAGACACAATGTAGATCTTTTCGAAGACGAGGAGGGCGCGGACGTTTGAGCAGCTTGTCGATGTCTCCGTGTGGAGGGGAGTGGGGGGGGAGCTTACAATTTTCAGAGACCTGTTCGTGCATGGAAGTGATGAACGTTTGAGATTTTATAACGCTGTGTATAACATAGAATGAAATTTCCTTTTCATGTTGCTCAATAAGGCGAAAGAATAGCTGCGAGGAAACATATTCCTGGGTTTGGTTTGGGGGCGGGGGGGGGGGAAGAAATGTTCAGACTTCACTTAAATTGAAACCTCCCATTTTGACGTTATCTGTCCCCGTCGTTTTATACAAGAACAATTCTGAAATTATGCAAACTGAGCCCAAAAATGTGAAATTATGCAATTCTGTTAATTTTAACAAAGATATGATAAAGGAAAATCATTAGAAATTACGCAAAAAATGATGAAATTTTGCTTAATTAATCGCGGTGCATAAAACCATGGGGACAGCGTTTTGGACAAGATCATCAACCAGCTGCAGCACTGGGACCGATACAGAAGAAACAATTTAGTTCTTTTCCAGATTGTGACCTCCATTTTCCTTATTGAGTAATATGAATCAAGAAAAGAAATTCCATCCGTCATTGTAGACAGCGATGCAAAAAAACTTAACGGTTATCACTTCCACACGTTAACAGAGTTCTGAAAACTGTAAGATTCACTCCCTTCTACACACAGACATCGTAAATTGTTCAAATGTTCTCAGTTCAGAAAGCCAAATCTTTCAGGTGAGAGAAAATATGTGTCATTCTTTTAACAGCTATGCCGTTGTACTTACTTTATGTATCTTTCCTTGCTTCTTTTTTTCAACATTTAGAATCTGCACTCTGATAAATTATTTTTGGAACACTTGTAACTGACACCACAGATTAAGAACCTCGGTGAAAATCGTTTTCCCCCCTCAAAATTTCGGGCTCAGTACAACTGAACAACAAGGCGAAGAGAGAGAGAAGAAAGGCCGTTCGTCTTTGATTTCTGGCGGAACCGGGTACCATTAGATGTTGTTATTTAGTTTTATAAAATCGCCTTTACATTCATTGATAGACCCCTCCCAAAATCAAAGGCCAAACAGAGTCTATTTTAGTTTTTAGTAGGAGTTTTACGGCATTTGTAACACAACAAGGTCATATAAGTGTCGAAAATTTAGAGGGAAAAGAGATAGGGACAATATTATGTTTGATAGGAAAGATGGAGCAGACCACATCAGAGAACCCCCCAACCACCCACATACAGTATCTACATAGGTGTTACCCAGGACAACTCAAAAGCACAAGTTAGCAAGGAAACTAGGTAGGACAGGCAAGAACTGTACAGACAATTTACTGCCACGTCGCACTCTATCCCTTCTCCTTTCTGTGTTTTATGATCACATTAATAAATCACTGTACTCGGGGACGAAACCGAGACGTGAGTGTCGATATAATAATATAACGTCTCTGGTCTGAGAGCGGCCTCATGTCATGTGTCTAGACCGACTGTAAGTCCGGATTATTGTAATGAAGGTTGTCCGTATTTTTTCCTCTTTTTTTTCTTTCTTTTTATCTAAATGCGAGATTTTGATTTTCAAGTACACGACAAGGTTGTTTCAAAAAACAAGAAAGAAAACTAGGTTTTCACTTCTAGCAATTTTCGGAAGTAAGCCTGCTCCCGAAAGAAAACACAGTTTTACAGCACGTTTCTAAATAATATTGTTCCGTATGCACCCCTTTCTCTAAAACACTTGATAATTCTGTACAGCTCCTTTCGGTCATGTTGTTGGATGGAGCTCGTTATAAAAGCGATTCTATTTTTCCTACCGTCTAGTTATATCTGATTCTGTAGTCTCACCTTTTCCCAGCACGGTATGACTAGTATTGTTTTCGAGTGCTTGTCTATAACAAAAATAATCAAACAATTATTCTTCGATTTTGTTTATATAAGAATATATTTCTATTAGGATTTTACTGAAAAATGCTGATCGATTTTGTTTATATAAGAATATATTTCTATTAGGATTTT